CCAGTCAGTATTAGACACGGTAAGTCACTTTTAAATTTAGCTAGTATTTTAAATATTCATCGTGACAAAATAACTTTTATTCACAGTTTATATATGTCAGTTTGTGTTGTCTCTGAAGAAGGCTCAAAAGTGAGCCGAAACATGTAAGCGCGTTTAGTAGAATAAAAAAGTTTTACGCTTTATGAGTATATTATTTGCGCAACGTCTTCTGCGCCTGACTCCTATTGTTCTTATTCTTACCAATTTCTTTTTTTATTATAAATTACGTAACGGCTTCCTGTCCGTGAAACATCATATGCGATCATTAAGTCTGACAAAAACAAAAATTGGAAATCGAATGTAAACGTGACAGTGACAGTAAAAACGTAATCGAAACTTCGGCGAAAATTGAAATAACGAGATATAAAAGAATAAGAATAAGAATAAGAATGAGATAGAAAAGAAGAAGCACGCGTAAAACTATAATATGCATTCGATTATGCATTCTGAGAATTATATGTTACAAGTCATTTATAGAGTGGACTTTAGCGACTGACGAAGCGTGTTTTGACGTAGTTGACGAGAGGTAGATATGACCAATAGCTTGAACAAGTATTTTGCGGGATGTATTTATTTAACCGCGATAAATTATCGCGTAATCATAAATAAATATTCGGTGTAAGCCGGATTGTCTGTTACCTGCTTTTATTTTCATATATATATATATATATATATGATTATACAGGATGATCCGAAATTCGCGCATTCGGAGTACAGGACATGATTCTTTATGCTAAAACGCACAACTTTTTTCTGTAGTAAAATTATATTCGATAAATAATTTTTGCGTTTACTTGTATAATTTCAACCTGCTCTCCTGCAAAAACTACTTGTCGGAGTAATTTTGCTAAAGGAAAAAGTTATTTCTTTTAGCATAAAGTATCATGTCCTGTACTCCGAATGCGGGAATTTCGGATCACCCTATTATATGTATAATAAGAAAACAAGCGTTTATTCTCGGTCATTTATTCCCCTGAAAGACAATAGAAACCTTTCAGTTTGTGGAAGATTCCACAGGCGCCTAGATAACACCGGTATTTATAATCGATTCTTATTATAAGACCGTCAGTATAGGTTTAAGCTACTATAAGCTAATACCAATCACGAAGCCGCATCTTAATAGGTGTATGAGTGACTTTGACCGATTGCGAAATCAACTATAGAATAAGAATATTGCTGAAGAAGACTCCAAAGAAAATCGAAACATTCAAGAGTTCTCAAGATTTTTAAATAAAAAAGACATCTGTACATCAAATGAAATAACAATTAATTTTACTTGTTATAAATTTTTGCGTATCTCCTTTTGCGCTGACTCTCAATAACCTAGATTATCTTTGTTTTTGTTATTTTAATAGACATTCTACAATAAGTCATTCTCTAAGCTTAAGTCTTGAGCCGTAAGAAATTATCGAATATGAGAAAAATAATCGATTATGATTGATCAGTTTCTTCGGTTTAAGACTTAATTAAAGCTTAGATAGGTAATGGCTTATTGTAGAAAAGCCCATAAGATATTATTTAAAACTATCTTATAATAAAAACTGACTATGAATATCGATCTAAGTCTTTTTTTAGCTGTATATGTTGGGTTCTGGGTTTTTTTTTTTTTACCACCATGAGAAAAAAAGATAAATTGTTCAAAAAGTTGAATTGAAAGAAAAAGGCCTGATATAATATTTGAAATTATGTGTGGACGTAGCCAGAATTTTGTTTAGTAGGATGGGGGGGACTAAATTTGAGTAGAGATTTTGAACCCGGGAAAGGAGGGGAGTAGTCGAGTGATATGGATTATTGGACTTGTTTTGTTTTATATTATTTTTAATTAATTACTAGCAGGTAAAAATCACACATATTTAATTTACTAATTTACTTTCTTAAAATTCTTTTCTTAAAATTGTAAATTGATTCCTTGAATTGAAAAAAACTTAAATTTATATCAGTCGGTATTGATCGTTGTTTTCCTAAAATGGAATATAAATCATTTGCATATTGAAAAGCATTAATTTGCGTATATTAAGATCATTTCAAAGCTTCGTAATATTGGTTGGCGTGAATTGACAATCCACTATAGTTTTGACAATCTGTGAATGACTTCTCTTTGGCTGAGTGCTAAATCAATATTAATATATGTAGATTAGGGGTGTTGTTCACCAAATGTTAAACAAGGATAAATGATGCATTATGCATATTATGCGTGAAACGGAATGTACTCTAAGTCTATATTCAATTGTTAATGAGGACTCCAAAGAAAGTTGAAACGTTCAATTTATCAAGAATTTAAAATAAGGAAGATCTGCATCTGCACATCAAATGAAGTAAAGATTTTTTTTTATACTTTAACAATTTGCGTTAACTCTCGTTAGCCTTGAATGTTGTTTGTTATTATTATTTTAGAGAGAGAGAGAGAGAGAGAGAGAGAGAGAGAGAGAGAGAGTCCCAGTTAAACATATATATATTATAATAATTCTTTTTAAATTTATAACACTAGCCAGCTTGGATTCTCAGAAAATCTTTTTATTATCCATTTCTACCAATATAGATTAACTTTTTAATCTATATTGTTTAATTTACTCCTCATTCTTTTATAATTTTTAGAACTAGAAAAAGATAAAAAGTATGTTAAACCAAGATTAAAATTAATCTATTGGTAGAAATGGGCCTATAACTTTCATCTCCAATTCTTTTTTCTTTCCCAAAACTAATTTCGTTTGAGTACTCATTAAGTATCGTTAGTACGTTTGAGAAGTTTTAATTTTTTTTGTTCTTTAAAATTTTAGTTACACTCATGGAATCATAATACAGCTTATCGTTTCAGGACAGGTTTTGTGCAATCATAATCTCGGGATTAATATTTGCGAAATCGACATTGAGTCACGTCGTTGTATGCTGAATTGCGTCGCATTTGCGATCACAAATTAGCCTGCAGACAAACGAAGAAAGTCTGTCGAGAACAGATCCTATAACAGAGTCTTATTACTATTCTTTGCTGTTCTCTATCAATTTATTTTTATGTACATCTCATAATTTTTTATTTTAATAAAGTTATTATATTCTTCGTGATTCTGTTGGCAATGTACTATAATCAAACCGTTAATATTTTACTTATTAGGACCTTATCCCAACCGAGTAAACAAATTGGTGTCAAAATGATGATAAATGATTAACGACTAAGAAGTAAAACAATAAGTCACGATAATGTCAAAATGATATTAAAATAAAGTGTGACTTTGAAAAGAGACTTTTTTTCATGCCGTGTTCAAAAAACACGCTATCTGGAGCGTCATTCTCAGTATTTTTACATCTTCAATATTCGTCAAATGTAAAAAAATAAAATGATACAATAACATACTGATAGCATGCTTCCTGAATACAACCTATCGTTTTGAAAGTATTTGACGTCATTTTGATGTTACCATGACTACTTCTGCTTGAGTTTCTCTCATAGACCATTCGCGTGAATACGAAATGTTACGATGCTACACGTGAATACGCGTGAATACGAAATGTTACGATGCTACACGAGAACTTTACTTCTGATATTTATCGGAAGTACACATTGGAAAAAAAACAAGAAGCCAAATCGAAATACAATTTGCTTTTCAGGGAAGAATCTCGAGCTCTATTTTACGCGAGTTTCGTTCGTTTCACGGAATGTATTTGTATATACTTTGCAATTATTGACGGTGTATAAACAATGATTATCAAAAGAAAGAACAGCGAACGAAAGATATGAACTGATCTATGTACTTTGTTTTTTTATTTTTACGATTTCTCGCAATTTATTCTTCCGTTTACCTTTAACAGAAACGAGTTTCATATATTCCGTTAACAACTTGAGTTTCAAGATCTCAAGAGCCTAGTTATCTCATAGTTATCTAGACTGAGAAACAGTTATAGGAAAAGAGCTGGTTAATGAGCGTAACGGAAACCGTTCGCGTGTTAACGCATGCGAGAAACACGGTTGTGGATTAGAATTTTCTTGAATTGTGACGAGGAATGTAGGATTTTGATTGCAAAGGACTTCAAATAAAATGTAGAATTCAAATCAGGTTTTGCAAATAAACCTTTATTAGCTTCCCGATACATAAGAGCATAATATTATATAATATTTTAAGTATATTCTTAGGATATGCTTAAAATATTAATATTATGCGTCTAGTCTATAGGAAATCTTTTGTTGCACATGCAGCTTCAAAGCACCGGATAATTAAAAGTGTCTGTTAGTCAAATTGTAAATATACGCAATCATTTCTTTTGCAATATATACGCGTTTAGACATCGCGTCTAGATAAGATAAAAATTGAGTTTGTCATAAATTTCTTTTTGTGTGGCTTCTTAGTGATATCTGCAACGTCATCTGTATATCTCGCGTGCACACATTCACTGAAAACGTCGATAGTATAGATCGCGAGAACTTTAAAATAAGAAAAGAAAATTCATTGCTGCAATACCTACTGATTCCATTTTTCCTTGATGGAATCTTGGAGTGCCGGATGCTTGCCATTTGAGGTGCGTTTGGAGAGACGTTATTAACGTTATTTGCATAATTCTATCTTCATCGTTCATTAGACGTAAAACAAAGATAGAATTACACAAATACCGCTAATAGTGTCTCTCCGAACGCACCCTTGATGACACGAGTTGACGCAAGTATAGTTCTATCTTTATTATTTCGTGGGTGCCAAGAAAGATTAGGTCCATTCAGACTCAGTTTTAGGTTCAATTTATTTTTAATCTCTTTCCAATTCTGGAATTGGAAAGATATGAGGCATAAGTTGAATCTCAATTAAGAAATATTAACCGTGAGTTGTGGAACTGGGTCTTATTAACGACACAAGTCGTTCTATCCTTGTTATTCCACTGAATGTCAACAAAAATAAAATGATTATATCAGCTTATATCAACTTGTGTCACTAAATCTCCCAGAAAAGCACCCATAAAATGATTGTGTCGATTTGTGTCATTAATGCTCGTTTCTATCAATATAGTTTAATTTTAATTAAAGGTGAATGGAGAAGTTAATCTATACTGCATTGATAGAAACAAATATAAATGGAAAGCACCTATTGTTCAGTGTGAAATTATAACATATATATATATATCTTTTAGTTGGTGTTGACTGGATATAAGTAGTAGAAATTATTAGAGAAAATAATATTAGAAAATTAGAGATATATTAATAATATTAGGAAAATGTATTCTGATTTAAGCCTAAATATATATATTCTGTTTCGCATTACATAAAGTATACATTGGAGTACTGGGAACCCCATCTATATTTATCGTAATTTTAGCAAAAATGGACATATTTCAATTAATTTATTTCCAATCGATGGAGAATCGACCAAAGAACAGGCCCATAATTTATAAAAATCAATAGAAGTAAGGAGCTCTGAGATAAACAGATTTAAAAAAAGTCCAGAAACGCCAAAAAATCTCAATACGCTGAAGTCACGGAAATCTTAATGTGTATATCTAGAGTCAATTTTTCTCAAATCTCTATCACAGATCCATTACCTACTTATTCTTGGTTTTTAGGTGGTTTACCTATATAAAAAGAGATATAATTGAGCGACGACCGCAAGTGGGGAAGAATCATCTGCTTATTTGGATTCCGATTAGATGCCTGGATAACAGGTAGTTTTTCATCAGAGATAGGCTTATACCTTAAAGATATATATAAGGACGATCGAAATTGGGTGTACACATAGTAATGAAACAACAGAGGCTATTTGCACACACTGCAGAATACTAGATTACGATCGGATAAATAATATCTGACTGTCAATCAATCCTTATCAGCGGTACCTCATCTATCACTTTGTCAATATCAGTATTGCACTGGATGCGTAAGAAAAACTTATAAATATTTAATTCTTGTCGTATTGTTATTCTTCAAAAGCATTATCTGTATGATGTATTTTCTTGACTGTTAATTAAATGCAATCAAAAAGTTTAAATGCATCACATGATGCAAAACTGAATTAAATTTATAATTAATTTTGAGAGATACTCAATGGAATTTTATTGTATCGATATCAAAATCTATGATACAAATTGTGACATATGATATTCATATTTTATAGCATCAATAGTAAGAAACATAATAGATACTTATTATAATATATTTACAATTATAATATTACTCATTATCGTTTCAATATATATATTTACATAGTGGATATTTCATTCATATTTCATTGTTAATGCAGCGAGAATCAATGCATATCAACTAAACTAAATTTGCATTGAAATAAATTTTATCATAATTGATGCTTTATTGTTAACACATTTAATTATATTTACTTTATCATTATTAATACATCTTTATTAAATTTCTCTTTCCAGATCCTGTATGATCCTAAGAAGAAAACGATTAAATAACAAACGGAGATTTTTGGAATTTTTAATTGAGTGAACTCTATTTGTTACATTAATTGCTAAGCAGTTATGAAGATGACGGTCACTCTGAGAACAATGGGTTTTATGAAATTAAGTCGTGTTCGGCAGAATCTAAACATGCGCAAGTATGGTAAGTAATGTTTTTTATAAATGTGATCATCTTGTTTTTATAATAAAAACGTTTTGACCCTGTAACTTTTCGGTGCTATTTCTGATTATGGCATGTACAGTGAGTGCAAAAAGTATTCGTACAGACAAAATGTTTTTTAAAAAAATTTTATTTTTAAAAAATAAATATTATCCAACGAAAAATGAGTCATCGAATTGATGTCGAATCGATATAGATACGATGATTTCAACCAATTTGACGTCGATTCAATGTTTAATTGACGATCATTTCTTGTTGGGTAATTAACAATTTATTCATAAAGAATAAAATAGACTATACGTTTATTAAAATTATATATACCAAAAAGATGTGTATTAATTATAGAAAATGTATCATCTAAAAAATTAAAAATTGTATTGTTTGGATGCTCAAAAGGTATTCGTACAATCGAGAAATTTAGCTTCTAAAATCAGGAATACATGCGAAGCTCGTTTGTTCATGTTAGAACAGAATGTATTCATTGTATAAAATTGCTAATTAATGTTTATTTTCTACAAATAAGACTTTTTTTTATAATAAATTTCCTTATACAAATACTTTTTACTCTCACTATATATATACCCAGTTTTCTTTTTCCATTTGTTTTATTTATTACTTAATAACTTTTATTAATAAAGGTACATGCATTTATTTGATATCGTTATATTCTTTAATGTAATTTGACGTTTTGATTGAAAAAAATTCTTCATATGTGTGTGGGTTCACTTTTATAAAAATTATAAGCAATAGAATTAGGTTGGATATATCATGTTCAAGTGTGTCGTCCCATAGGTCCATTTTCACAATGCATGGTAATCTTTAATCTTCACAGGTAACCATATATTGTAAAAGCGGGCCACAATGTAGTACCGAAAAGATAATATTTTTACTACTTCAAATTGTTTAAGTTGTTTTATTATATATTGTTATTAAATATCATATGAAATTAATCGATTAATTGTTACTATTTTTCTTCCTGTCATTTAATGTAATAATTAAATTTACATTAAATAAAACTAAAGTAAAATTACATTTAATTTTTAATTTAATGTAATTAAAATATAAGTATTGTTTATTTAAAGAATATTTATTAATATTTTAAATTTTATCATGTAATTATCGAGGAATATTTCATTGAAAATAAAATATATATATATGCTATACATATATCATAATTTTATTTTATCACTAATCTCATATAAAAAAATATATAGGCTAATTCATCTATCTCTTAAATTTGTATCGACTGTACTATTAATTAAAGATGGAAAAAATACGAGCGCAATTAATTTTATTAAAAATTTTATAATCAAAATAGGCCAGTGGAAATTGTAGGAAATTATGATGTATGTACATATGTGAAATATATGAAGAGCAGAATTCCAAAATGCTTTTTGTCTAAAATTTCATTTTTGTAGTTTCATTTTGTAGAGACAGCGTAGTGTCAGTGTTGAAAGACTCAACTATTATAAGCTACTCTGAGATGTTCAGAAAGCATTTTTTCATCGTTAATTTATATGCTGAAAAAACATAGACATTTCGAAGTGCATTATGTTTTTTAACTACTAGAGACAAACAAAATGCATTTGTTTAACATTTTTAGCAATTGTTTAGTAATTTTGTTTAATATTTCACATTCTATTGATTGGTATATTGTCATTTTCTGTAAAGAGTGCGTAATTTTCTTATGAGCGGAATTTCTTTCTTTCTTGTTTTCTAAAAATTACAAATTTTGGACAAAACGCATTTTGAAAATCTCGTACTCATATATAAAAAATGTTTATTAAATTTTAATAAAATACAATGAAAATATCCATTAAGTATATTTTATATAATTGAAATGAAAGAAGTAACGAAACTGTAAAATGTAACACTTATATGTTGTATAATGTCATTATAATATAGCCTACTGTAACTACATTATTATTGAGAGTAACCCCACCACAGACGATAATATTTATTTAAGCAGGACGTCCATAAAAAGATCGTAAATGTTTATGAGACATAAAAAGGCTGATTTAATGTTTCTTTACCATTACGCTACAGTAACCACAAAATACACATTTAAGCTGTACCACAAATCAATTCGAATGATAAAACGAGTGGTTTGGTGGTTGACGTGGTCAATTGCGCGTTTTCCGCAAGTTAGACGACATACACATAAGACACACAAGATTGCTGTTATCTCCCGTAAGATTACATAAAAATACAGATCATCTTCGCGGCAGAAAGCGACGAGGAATATAATGCGCGATAGAAATAGAAGGAGGTACGAGAGCGCGAGATGCGAATAGTGTGTTTGAACAGAGATTGACCTCGGCAACATAAAAAATTACAAGCTTTAGTTACCATCTTATCGCGTTCATATCACCATTCCAAAGCAACAAATACGACCGTTACGACTAGATCGCTGCGAAATACAGAGAAGTAGAGTGACTTATTAAATAATCTGTTTGTTCGTACGTCGGAATAATATTCAATTTTCGCGTAATGTAAGATAATTACGTGATTCTTCTTCTTTTTGTTCTTTCGCTGCGAATGTGCATTGTGGAACGAAATTGTGATATTTTTTTTCGTCTGTATTTTGCAGTGAGTGATCAGCATCTCGCAGACGGCGAGGTGAAGAAACAAAAGATACCGCTAAACATCGATACCAACATGCTGAAAATCGGTTTCCTCGGCGGGGGAAAAATGGCCCAGGCGCTTGCTAAAGGTTTTATACGGGCAGGTAAATAGTTTTTCCTATGTACATATGTTTTTTCACGACATATAATTTTTTTCATTTAATGTTACACGTTTTAACGATATACAGACTATCAGTTATATTGATTTGATCAACAAAAATTCACTGAAAACTCACTCGGAATGTTTTTCGCATTTTCTTTTTTCCACGAGACTTCTCTCATTTTACAGGTTTAAGCAAAGGCGAAATGATACTGGCTAGCTGTCTTCCAAATGATACCGGCAGTATTGAAACTTTTAAGGTGAGATGATAAACAGTTTATCACATAAGGAAGAATCCGATAATAGATCGAAGGATGCTTCTTTTGTTCATAATATGTTGTTTGATAAGAATACCGCTGGTGATAAGGTGTGATTTCTCATCGTAATGAATCTATGGTAATAATCAGTGATGTAAATTCTTTATCTAATATTAAATATATTTAACAAAGAGAGAAAGAACATTCGCATTTCATATCACAATATTTTATGAGACTTTGAAACTGATAGATTAAAACTTGATTAAAACATGTTATGATCAAAAGTCAAATATTAAAACAAAGATGAATTATAACTGTGTTGCTTTAACTGACCAAAGTTTTTAGTGAGATGGCTTCTTTCGACATTTGTTTAACCTTGCTGGACTGTTCAAATTTATTGTACATCTATTATTGCTCGGATTAATATGACCTGACTCATTATTTTATACATTTGTGAAGATATACCAACAAAACACCGGGTTTAAATATTTACTGAAAATTCAAAAATAAATAATAAACATTGTACATGTAACAATTAAACATTTTAAAAAAAGGACGAAAAGATTGTTAACACTTTTTTAATCAAATTAATGTGTTTTCAAATTAAAGTTATAAAATAGAGTCACAAAATGCCAGAACACTCACTCATCATATAAAAATGACATAACAGAGAAATCAAAATTATTTTGGGTTAAATAGACTCGAACAGACTAACAGGGTTAATAAATTATCATGATAAGATGTAGTTTTACAATTTCTATATATTCTAATCATGCATGTATTAAATGTTTATCGCTGATTATTGATCGGGATATTTTCAAACATTTTGTATTTATGTTATTATCACATGTACGCGAATTTTAGAATTGTATCTATAAGTTATATTTGTATATATTATGATACAAGAATATGAAGTGTTCCTCTCTATTCAGTCATATTTTCACTTGTGAAAACTGTGATCAACTGAAGAAGTTAAGACATATAACATTAAATGGCATAATGATCCAATAATGATTACGAATTACATCTACGAAGTTCTTTCTGTATGTAAGGCACATTTACTAATACTAGTAGAAAGAGCAGGGCTCGGTAAAATAACCAAGATACGACTTTATATTTAAAAAATATATATATAAATTCCAGAAACTTATTTAAAATATAAAATCGTAGGAGTCAATAAAAACTGATACAACTTATTTAAAATAAAAAATATAAAAAATGGGATTTTCCGAAAACTTATTTAAAATAATAAATAACTTTTTTTTTTATTTAAAACATATATTTTATATAACTTTATTTTAAATACGACCAAGCTCTGGTAGAGAGTGTAGATATGATGTTAGATTGACGATACATATGTTACTTTGTGTTTAACTCAGAATGCCCTCAGAGAAAAATCACAGTGATTTTACACAAGTGAAAATACCTTATATTTTTACACAGTAATTTGTACTTAGACGATATCAAACATATCAGATATGCGTGAAAGAATATATAAATAGATAGAAGTCTTATATGTTTTGATAGAAGATGATGTTAGTAATATCTCAAGATGATTATCAAGATAAAACTGTACGTAATATGACGAAAAAAAAACATTTAATAAAATTTTGATAAAGAAAATTTCAATTTCCATAATAAGTATCACACTTTGTCAAATGTCTTACTACCCAGATAGCAACGTGTCTGTCTTGTTGCTGGCATGTTGCTTGCTAAGTATGCATTACTACCAGAATTGCAGCAACTGAGTCCTCATTTGTTGACAACTTGATGCCTTCACGATATGACAACTTTGAGTTACAACTTGCCAGCAATTTGTCGATAACTTTAAAATCGTCAAAATTCGTATTACTGCCATCACGTTGCCATAATAATATGCAGCATCATACAATGCTGTCATATTGTCGACAACACAAGATAACATTGATGCAGCTATCTTGCTGTTCTGCGGGCAATACATATACACATTATTATCTGCATGTTGCTACAATGTCGGTATATTCAAAATCGTTCAAGATAAATCTTTGGCAAGTGCTAGCATCATAAGCAATCACAGATTTGTGCGATTTTGCTGAGACACGCTTTGCTATCTGGGTAAGTGTGTCAAAAACCTGTATATTTCTCTCTAATTCAACGTTTTTAGGAAATGGGATCAAATACTGTTTTTACAAATGTACCTGTCATCGATCACGGTGACGTGCTAATCCTTTCGGTAAAACCGCAAGTTGTACCAAAAGTATTATCAGAGTTTAGGGTACACGACAACAAGAAGTTACTCCTTTCCATCGCCATGGGCACCTCTCTGACGTCATTAGAAAAGGTAACACGTCTCTATCATCGAACAAAAATTCGTTAATGCAAAAAAGAACGATGTCATACTACAGGGAGAATATTTTCAGGCGCTGCCAAAAGAAACGCCCGTGATAAGAGTAATGCCGAACACACCTGCATTAGTTGGCTGCGGTGCTACGGTGTTTGCGCGTGGAAAATACGCGAATGACAAGGATGCAGAGATTGCAGAAAAACTGTTTTCCTCCGTAGGCATCTGCGAAGAAGTCCCGGAAAACTTCATTGATCCTGTAACTGCCTTGGCCGCTTCCGGTCCTGCCTATGTTAGCAAACATTCCAATTTTAGTTTTTTAGTTTAATTTTTTTAGTTAGTCGTGAACAATCAGTAGTAATGTTTTTATAAATAATTATTGCAATTAAATTTAGAAAATAGAGAAGTTGTGAAAATAAAGAAGAAAAATGATAGTTTTATACTTTGACAGGTTTTTTGAGTCATATAATTAATTATCAATCTTTCTTTTATTTTTAAATTGTTAAGTTTTTTTCCATCTTTAAGAAAATGACTAGTATTATAATAGTATTATAATGAGAAATGAAATTGCTTTAGATATATATGGTAATCGAAGCAATGGCCGATGGTGGAGTTAAAATGGGACTTACTAGGCCCATTGCGTATAAGCTCGCTGCGCAAACTGTCTTAGGCGCTGGTACAATGGTTCGCGAGACAAACCTCCATCCAGGACAGCTCAAGGATGACGTAACTTCACCAGCAGGTTAAAACTTACTTATATTAATTAAAATCTCTATTTTTTTCAGCCACAATATATATTTTCCCTTTTCATTTGCAGGCTCAACCATAACTGCTATTCATCAATTAGAGAAACATGGCTTAAGATCGGCATTAATCAACGCTATAGAGGCGGCAACACTTCGATGTAGAGAAGTTAGTTCACAGGCCAACAAAAATTAGTGATGACAATTATTATTGTGTTGACATTTTAAAGAAATATATCAGGAGACACGGTAATGTCTCGGTATAAAAGAACGTAGATAATGTTTCCATTCAAAGAGGATAGAAATGAGATATAATAATTTGAAGATATCAGTTAAATCTTAATTGGATTTTAAAATGACAATTGAGATATCCTTATTCTATATTAGGGATGTATCGATTTTGTTAATTATTTAAAGAATAGTCACATTACTGTGGTTATTATTATAATTATCACATATGTGATAATGACCATGTGATAATTTGAAATTTTAAGGAATATATAATATCGTTGTTATTATTATTAAACTGTAGTTGCAGTTCAAAATACTGCTGTTGGTCTCTCTGATATAATGTCATTAGAAACTATTTTATAAATAATTATTTAAAGTATTAGCAGATTTTCTTTTAATTATTTGGAAATAATCTTTTAGTTTTGAGAAATAAAAAATATAGATCTGATACTAAATGATAATAATGGGTACAGTCCATTTGACACTACAAATGCTTCAAAGCATTTGTAACACCAAGTTATCCGTAGACTTTCAACACATTTGTACAAGTTGACACTATTTTTACAATATAAACTATTTAGGCTGTAACTAATATAGAATAAAAATTATATTATACTCTTATAAATTTAAAAGTTTAGAAAAGTACTCATTATAATTTTTTTTAATAATTGTAAAAATATTCTAATAAGTGATTAAAATGTCTAAACAAGACTGACACTTAAAAATTATTGAGAAAATACAAGGAAGTTTTATATTCCTATTAAAATTTATAGAAATATATATCTTTATTCTATTCAAACTAATTTTTAATTGTATATTTAATTGTATTTTGATATATTTGTTAATATTTGATTGTATCATATAAAGTATATCATATAAAGGATTAAATGAATAAATATTAACATGTTAAAAAGCTTTTTTGTTATTATGTCATTTAATATTTTTTAATTTTAATGTTGAATAATTTTAATGTTTGTAATCATTAGGTACCAATGTGAAATATTTTTTATATTCTACAAATATAACAAATTCATTTCTTGCATTCTTTATCTGAACTAACGTTCGACATCAGTTTTTTTTCCTTAGCTTGCACACATTTAAAACCGAGATTGAATTCTGTCTTAAACATTTCTCTATAATAACTTTCCTTCACTATATCACTTTCAGGTACACCTGTCTGTTTGCACTTTAACACATAGGATTTATGCATTGTGGCTATGTTTAGATTTGCGTCCAAGTAACATCTACCACTGCGATCCTTAGGATCTGTCGATTTCTCGGTTGGAAAGGATCTAATATGTTCGCGCACTCGCTCTTTTACGTCCTCACTTTTCTTAGTTTTTGGCGTGTGCCTACCTCTTTGGTCCGGTTCGATGATACCACTTGGTGACATTCGTTTCTTCTCCATCACATGTCGCACGAACTTTTCAGATACTGCAAACGTGCTGAGAAACATTGACTTGCACACAGTGATGAATTCACCCTTTGAAACGAGAGAGTACGTGAAGGTCACCTGCCGGCATCTCGAAGAACGCTCTGGTTGAACATTGTTACGCAAACGAGTACGTTGTTTTGGAGATTCTTTGACAGATTTTGCGATATATTGCTTTCGCTGTTGCCATGTGTAGATCCTCCAAAAAGCTTTGTGTAATTCTTCGCGTTCCTTCTCATCTATCTTCTCTGCACAATGCATGCGACAAACGCAGGGATGTCCCATCTTTTTAGCTGGCACTATTTTGCCTGAAAAACATGAACTATTAATTTTTTGTCTATTAATCCAACTGTTTATCATCTCTATATTTACCTCCGACCCCAATGTATTCTTCCCCCTTTAATCTAGCATTTTTCTTCAAGTTTACTTTCCAGTTTTCAGGTTGCTTTATACGTTTCATAGATTCTTTATGGTCCTTCAATGGTTTTGTATTCTTTTCCTGTTTAAGCTTAATTGAATTTTCTACGAAATTCTTATTATTAACGGAGAGTGGCTCTTGTGACTCATCTATTGTTTGTAAATTCAGTGTATCTCCTGTAATAACATGCAATTGCAATAAAATCTAACAGGAATTTGAATAAAGAGCGATCAAACTCCAATTAACACAATCAGCACTATTTTATTAATACAATTAAATCTATTAAATTACTTAGTAGAATTATGTTTAAGGTATTGAAAAAAAGATTAAGAATGAATTATATATTACAGATTTGTCTTAAGCGATTCTGCCTGTTGAGTTAAATAAATTAGAGTTTGGTCAAAGTAGCGTCTCTGTAATAAATTGAAATTATTGATAATTTTATATAATTTTTTTCTGCAAGACTTATCTGGAAAAAATACAGTAAAATGTACTTATTAACAGATAAGTTTCTACAAGTCCAACTCCAGAATACGGGATGAATCGGGATGTAAGATTTACATCCCCAGTAGCGGTGCCTTTTAACCATGCTGCATTCATTTGCAATTTGTTTGAATTTTCTGCTGACACTAAATATTAACAAGAGAAAGTGATGATAAGTGTCTGATCGGAATTCGAAGATGAATGAATGTATGAAAGAACGAGTTTGAGTTTACCTATGTTAGCACCATGCTTGTAGAATACGGCCGAGTGTTGTATTTCCTGCTGTCCGTCCACATTCTTCTCTGTCAACCATTCTTCTACCTTCGCGTGCTCTTCTAGCAGATTTGTTTCTTCTGCATCCTGCTCCATTCTGCGCGGTTCACATCTTCTACAGTTAATGAATTCGTGTTTCAAGCCTTATGTGTCGCGGAACGAGAGCAAATTCCGCGAAACGCCGCAGTGAAAATGGCAAAGGAAGATAAGCGAGCGTAAAGGCTCAGTCACGTTCTATCGAGAGACAATTTGTAGAGCTGAAAGATCCGAGCGTTCGTGATCGCGAAAACGTCGTAGATGTTCCTTTGCACCAGATTTGACTTAACGTAAATGCCGAATGTATTCTGTTTCAAAGAGGACGTATTACTCGTAGCACAATGGCACGACGAGATCATCATAAGACGTGTATTTTGTTACTCGTGCAGTATTGTGAGGTAGCTTGTCACCAATTGTCACCAATTGTCACCTGTTGTCATCAGTTGTCATCGTGAAACCTGGTGCAACTTATGCCTGATTCACACTGAACGCAGCAGGCGCCAAGCAGCGGAGCAGCAACCAATTAATGGCTGCGTTTTCAGCAGAACGTTTGTTTTGCAGTTGTTTTGGAAGTTTCCTTCGCGCTGATTGGATCATACTTTTAGATCTAGAAGAATGGTCCTATCTCAGCAGACAATCATAAACATTGCAAAACTGCTGAGTCTGCTGAACGCAGCTAATGAGGCGATATTTACAGGCGTAAACAATATCGCCTTGCTGATTGGTTGCTGCTCCGCTGCTTGATGTTTAACCCCGGATCTACAATAGGTGTTTTAAGACTTAAGCCGTAAGAAATTGACCAATTACAGTCGAATTTGAGGAGAATAATCGAATACGATTCATCCATTTCTTATGGCTTAAAGCGGGGTCTACAATAGAAGTCGTAGCAGTCGTAGGATCTTAAGTCGTAGAAAATTGACCAATCACAGTCAAATATGAGAAGAATAATCAATTGTGATTCGTCGATTTTCTACGACTTAAGACGCTACGACTTCTATTGTAGACCCCGCATAATGCGTGGTCTACAATGGACAGTAGCAGTAGTGGATTAAGAAGTTGGCGTAGAAATCAACCAATCATAATCGAATGTGAGGAGAATAATCAACCATGATTGATCGATTTCTACGCCTACTTTTTAATCCACTAATGCTATTGCCCATTGTAGACCACGCATAAGGCTTAAAACTCTATTGTAGATCCGGGGTAAACCAACTCTTAGGGTGAAATCACACGGTGCGGAAAAAGACTGCGGAATAGAGAATGCGTCATTGAAGCAACCAATCAGCGCTATTCCGATT